TTCCTCTGCAAGTCCTGGTACAAAGCTTCTCTCCATCCTCAATGCTGAAAGGTAATTCTCCTCGAACGCATCAGTTCTGATGATCCGTTTTCACTCAAACCATCAAAATTCAACAGTTTGAGCAAGAGATTTGTGGAAAGAGTATCATATCAAGAACTTCTCTGTAATTGGGTTCATCAAATTGGTCATTAGTCGAAGCCAGGGATCTGTTATTGATCTTGAGCTTCCAAGATGCTCTACTCTTAAGGACCTCAACTATGTTTCAGACGAGTAAGTACCCACTTAATCAGTAACAGTAACTAGTTTTGATTATCACCACCATGAATGGTCTAATTAATGATGAAATCTGTGCACTATGGGTTTGTTACTTTGTTTTCTAAACAGATGCACCAAATTGCAATTTTTGGAACTTCCTGAATATTTAATTTTTAGACAAGGGCACCGGATTCCCAAACTTATATGCAAATTCATGCAATTGCGAGGTTTATATCTGGGTGCAACCCACTTTCTTGAGGAAATTCTTGCCCAAGTTAATCTTCACTGCAAGAAATTTGATTTCCTAAGCATCGGAGGTACAGTTGGCCATGAAGAAGCATTAGCCATTGTGACCCATTTGCCCGTGATAAAACGCTTGCAGTTGACAGGAATTTTGCTACATCGTGAGAGTCTAAAAATTATAATAGATGGCTGCAAGCAGTTGGATGCATTGGACGTTGGAGAACGTATATGCTTCTAGGCTGACGAAGTTGTTCGAGGTTTCATAGATTGCTAGGTATTATTATTTATGAAATGTTATATATTTTGGTATGAGCAGTTTTAGGATTTTGAATCTTAAGAATGACAACTAAATATTTGGTTTTGCCATTGAGGGGTTGGGTTGTATGCGCTAATAGTTGATCAGTTGGTTTGCCATGTTTCCATCCAAGTGTAGTAGTTAATTTAGTATGTAATTTATTCGGATTCTAGATGCTATAACTTGGTACTAGTTTTCATTACTTTCTCGAATTAACAACTTTCAGCTTCTCTCTCTAGAAAATGGCCTCTCAAGCTCTTTGTTCTGAGCTCAGAAGTACATCAATGTTAAATGTTGAAGAAACATATTCCCCATGTAAAGAGGCCAAGAAAGGGCGGTGCAAAGAGCGTGATGACCACTTCGGCCATGATGGGAAGAGGTCAGATCAATGTCGAGATCATAGGAGGAATCCCTTGGCAACCTTGAGTTTCAACATGCCGCAAATCGTGATCGTGATCCTGAGTGCCTAGGATCGATTCATAAATCATAGTCCATCAATCAAATCGATTCGTGATCCTGAGGAGCTTCACCCTCAAGTGGTGAAAATAATAAAGAAAGAGATTGACAAATCCTATGTGGAGGTTTTATATCAACTTCACCAACCTCAATAAAGACATGCTTGAAAGATAACTTCTCTTTACGGATGATAGACCAAATCATCTGTACCACATTGGACCATAAGCTATTCAATTTCATTGATATTTTCAGAGGCAGATGCATTCTAAGAGACAAAGGTAAACTTAAGGGTGAAGACTTGAACCATAAAACAGGCCCACAAAAGAATTCTTTTCCAACGGCCTAAAACAAGCTTTTATTACATACATTATCAAGGTTGTGAACACCAAGATCCCTTTTTTCAAGGGTTTGCATATCTACCTAGTAAAATTAATGGCTACATTTATTATACATTGTATAATATGCATGCAGATGTGATATATGATATAATTTGTACTTGGAAAGAAAAATGTGAAATTTGCCAAATTGTAGTTGTACACGCTTCTGAGGGGCTGTTTGATCATGGCCGAAGTTTCTGAACAGAAAGACTTATTGGTTTGTAAATAATAAAATTTTCCAAAAGTAGTACAGGGATCTACCCGTCTTCAGTTTCAGTTATTAAGGAGAGCAGGACATCTTTATAATTTATTCACTAAAAGACAAAGCAATAAACTTCACCGTTTAACATCTTCGGTTGTTTTCAAACAGCATTTAAGAATTTAATTTAGGCTGGGCTTGGTTATCCCGTGTGAACTCTATATTTGGCCTGAGATGGGCGTACAACTACTTGGATTGGGCTTGAATTTACCTAAAACCTTGGATTGGAAGTACAATTACTTGGATCTACCTAAAACCTTGTTTGGACTGCTGAAGTTGTACTTCTCTAATTCACAATTGGTGGGATGCCGTACTAAGTCCTAAGCAACCATTGATTTACTACAAATACCCCAATTCTGTAAGAAGAATTTAGCTCAAGCTGGGGTCGGTTATTTCGCTTAGGCTGGGGGTGCACCTCTGTATTTGTCAATTTCTTGAGAGAACCTCATCATAACAGAAATAAGTTGCCCTCCCAAGTGACTCCAGATCTTCTATTAACATGATTTGTACAGGCTATACCTACCTACTCAAAAGTCAGAAGTAAGCTTCTCGATGTGAAGATCGGATCTGCTTCTCACAAAGGGCGCATCACTCCCGCCTTACATGCACATGGTACCATGCATTGGGAACATCTCCCATACTTATAAGTTATTATTTACGGGAGATATTCTCAATGTACGGTGAATGTGCATGTGAGGCACCCCTGTGTGAGGAGTGAATCCTGTTCTCTCGATGTGCCACTACCCACAGAGATCGGATCTGTTCCTCACACCTGGCATCTCACAGGCGCCTCACATGTACATCCTACCATGCATTGGGAACATCTCCCATACTTATTAATTAGGGGAGATGTTCCCAATGCATGGTAGATGTGCATGTGAGAAGCTCATTTATGAGGAACAGATCCGAGTAAACACACCAACAATCCATACTCTTACCAGATATACACTAATTGACTTGTAAAATCTTGATTGGGTTTCGTAACGAGTTGTACTTGTCGTCTTGTGTGTAGCAGATTCAGAATCATCCTAAGATGCTTTGTATCTATTATCTAAGCATAGAAGTAGGGGTGCATTTTGAGTGGTCGTAAACAAGAGAAGGTAATATGAAAATATACACATAATTTTTTTTTTTCAAACCTGACCAATGCACTCAAGCCCAATTAACCTGAGATCGGCTTCAATCAGGGCAAACCTATGCCTATATTGTTCTAACAGCCTTTTCTAACCTTACATTGAGAATATCTCCTCATGAAATAAAGCACACAAATATGGAGATATTCTCAATACAAGACAGTAAAATCTGCTTGAACAGGCTTTGCCTTGACTGAAGCCGAACCAGCCTGAGCCTGAATTGTGTTGGGTTGATTTCGGGGAGGCCTGGATTGATAAATTTGAGCTTTACCTCTGTTGAACTAGGCCCGAGGCCAAGATTTTGGACTTGAATTGAACTTCAACCCAACCCAATCCACCCAAATTTCTTCCTTGCATTGAAAATCAGGTTGAAACTTGAAAATCTAATTAAAAAGCCAAACTGAGAGAGTGAGACTTTCAGGTTTCAATTTGCTAATCTGGCAGACTGGCAAACAACCTGCCTGATAGACTAACACCCGCCGCGCATTGTCAATCTTGACTTTCTTCCCTCTCTTTCAGGTTTCAGTTTGCCAGTTTTCCCTTTCTTTACCCTCTCTCTCTCTCTCTCGGACTCTCACTTTCTCAGACTCCCACTCTTGACTCTCCCAGTTCTCTCATCTTTCTCTCTCTCTCTCTTGGACTCTCTCCCTAAGCTCTATTTCTTTCCCTTTTCCCCAACGGTCTCTCTCTCTCTCTCTAACTCTCATTCTTTCAGACCCCCACTCTCCCAGCTCTCTTCTTCCCCAACGGACCAAGGGCCTTCGGCGCTCCACCCTCCAATTGAATCACCGACGGCTTCCGACACTAGCAACACTGGAGGTTCGGTTGCATTTGCTCAGCGACACTGGTGATCCCTCTACTGTATCTCCCAACTCTCTTCAATCGTGTTTTTCGTTTTTTTTCTTTTTTTTTTTTTTTAATTTTGAGGGCATAAAAGAATCGAAAAATCGAACCACGATTAACCGGTTACATCGTTCACAGAAATAAGACTCTCACTAAACGAAGGGTCTTTATACAAAAAAGGATAATCTTAGATGACTTTCAAATTCCAACCATCTAGTTTATTCTTCAATTCGTTTTAGAGGTTTCCTTTTGAAAGGCCGACTCCTCTATCGTGATAAATGTATCTATTCATTTTTTTTTTTATTTTTCAAGTAAATAAAATTGACAATTTTAAATTTTAATTATAGAAAAGTCATTACCAAAAAAAGATAATTTTATTCTATTTAAGTGTTGATAATTTTTCTCGTAAAAAAATTACTTATTGACTTATGAATCCCACACAAATCTAAAAAAAATGAACATAGGTATAAATAGACTTCCATCCCTTAAAATCCGAAAAGTGACTTTTATTGAAAAGATGGCTTTTATTTTATATCCAATCTTATAAAATTAAACCACGTAGTTGCTATCCTTGATAGTTTTCCCCTATTTCCATTGCAGGTTTCTGTATTAGTGGGACCATGGCCACATGGTTGAAAAAAAAGATCGATAATTTTGAAATAGAAAAGAATTCAAACATTGGATAAATAATAAATTAAAGTAGAGGGGCAACTTTATTTTGGGGGGTTGTAACAATTACTCCTCTATACACCATATTTTACCACACTAGACCACCCCTGTTCTTTCATATAATGTGAAGAGACACCTAGTGGTTTCTCACCAAATACATAACTGAATGATGTCTGATATGGGTTAGTTTGCGTTAGAGACCATATATGCTATTATATGAAAATGTTAACATACATGGGTTCGACTATAATGCGGGAAAGGCATGAGATCGATACCGGAAAAATTTAAAACTAATCCATCTGCTATTCATCAAAATTCAACTGCGGGGATGGGAGGTTGATTGGTCAAAACCCTATTAGTATCATGCTTTCATACATGATAGATTTTTCCCATATCACTTATATAGCTTAAATCTATCTATCTTTCTATATATATTAATCTCCAATGGGTGGAATAAACTTCCGGTCTTTCCCTTCTCCCCCTCTTTTTTCACTCACCTCTCCAGCTTGCCATGCAAGCCACCTTCCCCTCTCAATTTCTCTCCTGTATATCTCCCTTTTCTAATGCATTCTTTCTCTCTTCCGCCATGTCTTATCTAGTTCTCCCTTCTCCTCCCTCTCTTTTTCTCTTTTGTTTTCCTTTTCTATTGCATTCTTTCTCTCTCCCGCCGTGCTTTTTTCTTACTTGTGCTTTTTCCCTGTTGATTTTAAACATATAGGGGTTACTGTTTTTTTGTTGTTACAGGGATGAGATCGATGTTGAACATGGAGGAAAACCCAAGGAGGCAACCTTTTTTCCCCTTGGCAGACGATCTGATAGATGAAGAATTTTACGACGAACAGTTGCCAGAAAAAGAAACAACGGCTCATTCCAAAGCAGGTTAGTGACCTTCCTAGCTGGTTCATGTTCGTAAGTCGTATCTTCAATGTAACTAAGACCAAAATTCTTCAAGATATGGCATATTCACTAGAAATGCATCAAATCTCATTGCACTGTTATCAGCATCTGCCCCTCCTTTTTTTCTTTCAAAATGTCAAAGAGGTTTTTTCGTCATTAAACAGGGAGGTTTGTTTGCTTTTGGTCCTGAAATGTTTGATCTTTTCTTTTGCTTTTATTTCCCCCAACTGTTGATTATGGCGTGGAGGTACAATTCATTAGGAGTTTTCGTTTTCTCCTCCCTGCTATGAGAGTTTTGGCTTTCGGTCATGGTTAGGATTTTGTTATCTTTTCTAGGTCTTCTACTGCATGAATGGTTTTTTGGCTTTAGCATTGAGTGGTATCACTGGTATGGGTCGAATGGTTTCCGAGGTTTTTCATTTTGATACTTTTCATTTTTTAAGTTTTTTTTCTTACTTATTCATTTTTCCTTGTTGATTTTTCGTTTCAGGTTTTTCTTCTGCTCAATTGCTCTTACCTATTCAGGTGTAATTTCAGAAATGTTTTCATTTGGCTCTTGGAAATAGTATTTTTTAGTCTTGTGTTACTAGAGGTTTAGAATGATTGATTTTGGTATATGCAGGTTTTAACTATGTTATAACCTTTCAATTTTTCGATTTAACTTTGAATAATGACAAATTTATTAAGAGTTTGGATCTGCATGCCAACTGTAGTCATTAGATTGCAAAGCCATGATACTAACAATGCCTGGGTTTTCAAACGTGGCATCTTTCATGGAAACTTGCAACTCCAGAACACATTGTTTCAGGTTCTTCTCCAGCCAAAGCCACAATGAGAATGTGAATGTGAACTTGGATGGTGCACAAAATGATATGGACAAATCCTATGTATCTATTGTCTACTCTATTGATCTCTTGTCGATTTCTACAGTCGTTTTATTATTTTTTTTTGGATTTCTTTGTTTCCCAAAGGAAAGTGCATTACACTGGGTTATTGATGTTGCGGTTCAATGGAGTCAATTAGTAGCTCAAGTGTGGTACTTCACTAAAATTTTGCATCTGTTTTTTATTATTTTATTATTTCTTGCTTCAAGGCAAAGTGAGGAGGTAATTAATTGCTAGAGCTTGGTAGGTTTTATCAAATTGGTTTAGTGGCCCTATAACAACCTCAAACGATGATGCAACACCTAATTAGTATGAATCGCAATTTTTCTAAACGATTCTCTTGGCTAGCATTGATTCTTGGCCCTAAGGTTTGTAAGAAAAAGTATTGCTTCCCAGCTACAACCAAAGAGTAACCATGAAAGGTTGGTTTAAGAGTTGCAAGTTTGTGTGCACTTTTTCTTTTAGATTCTTCTCATTCTTGCATCTTACTTCTTGTCATTTTTACTCGATAGTAACCATCTAATAGCATTTTATTTAAGAGTTGCAAGTTTGTGTACACTTTTTCTTTTATTTTCTTCTCTCTAATTTGTTATGCTCTTCTCATTCTTGCATATCCTACTTCTTGTCTTTTTTACTAGATAATGACCTTTTGCTAATTCGCACATGAAAAAATTGGGATTTATAGGTTTGTTACCTGAAGATCACTGAGAAAAGTGGATCCCAGGATCTTCCATGGGTGAGATTTAAAATTGAATGGCTAAAAGTGTTGGCTAATTAATGGTAAGGGTGCTTGAAATTGTGCTTTAAAGAAATGAACTTTTACTGATTTTTGAAATTTGTACTGAAAGCTTACATAAGAGGGAAATTAACTTCTACTTATTCCATAAATTTGCACTTGATTCCATGGATGAGATACAAAACTAAATTGCTAAAAATGTTGCCTAATTAATGGCTAAAAATGTGGTTCATTTCTATGGAATTGTGCAAAACAATTTTCAGATTATGAAGGATTGGATCATTTTTATGGAATTAATCCCGACAAATTTTAGTTTAGGAAGGATTATTTTATTCATTTTAGATTATGAAGTCATATTTACCTTTGGAAACCAACTGTGAATCTTTTGCAGGGATTATAATCTTATTATTTTTTTGTTTGTACTAAACCAAAGCAAGTATTTATTTATATTCAATGGATACAAGATTCATTCATGTTACCTATTTTTCCTTTCCTTCAACAAATGAGGAGTGGATGCATAGTGGATTTTCTTCTACTAATGCTACTTTCAAATTCCATTCAGTCCATCTCTCTCTCTCTCTCTCTCTCTCTCTCTCTCTCTCTTAATTTAAAGCAGCTAGGTTTTATTTTCCAATTCAGCATTTTTCCATTTCTTAAACTCACTGTATGGACCATTTTTGTGCAGGAGAGGCAATGCGTGCTACCATCAAATATTTTCAAGTGGAACCATGACTGGTATAGTTCATATTTTGAGTAATTTCATAAATGGATAAGAATGTGGCTATCTTGTTAGAAATCACCCCTTCTCTTCATTTTGATTTATCTGAAATCCTCCCTAACAATTAAAGTAAATGGTGTATTTTATAGTTCCACTTAGGATGATCACTTGATCTTTTCTCTTTTGGTTCATATTTTTGGTTTTTGGAGAAACTTATCATATTTCGGGTTTTGAGTTTGATACAATCAACTAAGAAGTAATGGGGGATAGGAGATAGAATTTTGTTAAATCCTATCTATGTGGGTATAAAGGTTGTAAAACAATGTTAGCATATGAAGATACAAATTTAAGCAAGTCCTAACTAATGGAGACTCAATTTCTATTAGGAGTTAGGAGGCCACTCTTACACAACCCCCAAATTCCTTTTGCATTGGCGGTATGGTTTGGATCTCCCATGCAATTAAGATTAGGGAATATGTTTCAAAATTCTTGGATTCATTGTTTGCATTTCCATATTACCTCCCTTTGTACAACACATGATATTTTTGTTATTCTTGGTTAGATTATATTATATTTGCTTTGTTATTGATCTTCATGTTCATACATGTTTGTTGGGAATGGGCTGAAGGACAAGTACTTAAAGAGAATAGTGGGTTTGGCTACTACAAGTGTAAAACATGTGAATAAGTACTTGTTTAAGTATACCGGACTATCTGTTCATTTCTATTTGCAAAATGTGAATATCATATGGTTTTAGAAAAGGTGAATATCATGGTTTTAAGTCAAGTGCCAACACTCAATGTTCTGCTTTTCCTTTGTTCTTTTTTATATTTTTGGTAGGAGGTGCATAGTGAGGTCTTATAAAACTAACATTTTTAGAGAGATCAGCAGGGATGGTTGACGTTTTGCCCCATCAATGAAGTTTGAAAAACTGATATACCTTGTTTCGTATAAATTGATATATATATATATATATATATATGATTAATCATGATCATCTATTTATCAAGCAGGGAAATTTTCTAGATAGTGATAATTAAGCTAACCTTGTATGTAATTTCTATAACCCAAGTGTTGGGACTGATATTTTAACCAATGACCACATGGTATGGTAATTTTCTAAAAGTTTCTAGTGAAAAGAGAGCAGCCAAATGAACATCTACAGACCTTTTTGAGTCCTTTTCCTCCCAAATGAAACAAAATTTCCTACAGATTTTTCAAAGAAAAAGGAATTGGGAAAGTTGGTTCTTAGTTGTGAGAATCTATAGTTTTTTGGTCAAATCTTATTTCTTCTTTCTCTTTTTATTTGTTTGTTTGGTTGTCTCTTTCCTTTAACAAAAAGCAAGAACTACACTAAATTTCCTTTATTTTTCTATTGTTGTAGGTTCAGACTAGGCTACCAATCTTTTCCCTTATTAGCTCCTTAATAATTTTATTTTCCTTTATAATTGAGCAGGTTTGTTTTTTATTGAAAATGGAAGATGATCAGTTGGGACTACCGCAAGTTTGATTCTGTCTTGGCGTTTAATCACAAATAATTAGTCATGGTGAGAGACGAAATTGTCCATTGAAGAGCATGTCTACCTGCTATACAAGGCGATTCAAATAACTCACCTCAAGTGGAATATGTTAACTTGTTTATGTAAAGAACAAGTTCTTTTTTTTCCTTATTTTGTAAGCAGCATACATATGGGTCAAAACTTTACAACTTAGGCTGTGTTTGGTTGCAATGCAAATTTATTTGCACTAGTACAAATGCATGGGAGTGCAAATGTAAAAAATGCAAATTCTTGTTTAATTTTGTTTTAGACTTTACTTTATTTTGTTTATGTCTTAATTTCCTTGATTTGGACTGCAATCAAACAAAATAAGTTAAAATTTGAAACAAAAATAGGTCAGAATTTATGCTCAAATCATTTGCATTGCCATGATTTTGCATCACTGTAAATTTATTTGCATTGCAACACAACCTTAATATTTCTCTCTTTAAACTCATGTGGGCATTGCTTATTACACCACTTCCAAATATTTAATTAATTCCTTTCAGAAACGTATTCATGCAATCCTTAATTAATTGCTCACTATTTCCGTGACACACTGTTTTGTCAAAATGCCCTGTGTTGTTTACAGATTGTTAGGACATCCTTATCTTTGTCACAGTAAGGGGGTGGGGGCAGGGGTATCTTCATGATGGTCCATCAATCAACGTAACTTTACCTTCAACCAACTGGTCTCGTAGGAGTTGTGGGGTGGCCCCTTCTGAGGCGGAGATGTGATCTCATCTCGTAGCCTCCAAAATAAAAAATTTCATATATTTTAAGAATTATTTTTCTACACTCATTAGCCCCCGCAAAATAGGAGTCACCCCGCTAGTTAATTTATTAAAGAATTAGGAGGGCCTTGTGCAATGTATAAGAAAATCCCAAAGTTGATTAATTTTATCAACGGTAAATGGTAATGAACAAAAAATTTGCTTACTTTATTATTAACAAGTTAGGGGGTGTTTGGTGTAGTGGTGTTGTATTGACATTGTATTTTAGGTTGATTATAAATTTGTAAGAAATATATTTTGCCACATCACATATATGTCATTCAATTAGAAAAATGCATGTTAGAGAGACACTAATTTGAAGTTTTAGATAGAAATAGCATTTTGTAATTTGTATTGATCAGTTCAATATGTTTTTCAAACATTTCAGGTAAAAAATATAGGGATTATATAATATATTTAGCACAAAATTATATTGATCAACCCAAGGCCACCAAACACTCTGATGTTAAGTGAGAGTACCCGAGAGCGTGTTCTGTGCACCGTGGGTGCACTCGTACAGTGCACCCGCGAATAGCGTATTGACACGTCGACCAGGTTAACAGTAACGTTCAAACGTGCGTTAACGCGGTCTGATCCGGTTTGCGGGGAACGAACCGGTTCGCATGAACACGAACCGGTCGAGTGTTCAATCAAAAAGCCCCTTTTTTTTCTCAGTTTCTTCGACTCTTTCAGTTCTTTTATCCCTTTCTCACCACCGAACCCTACCCATAGAATCAAAAAGCCCCTTTTTTTTCAGTTTCTTTGACTCTTTCAGTTCTTTCATCCCTTTCTCACCACCGAACCCTATCCATACAACAGAGAAACCCTTGTTCATCGGCCGCGATAGGGCGCCGGCTACGAACCAACGGCAACAGAGCTCCGGCGGTGACGTATCATTCTTAGCATGAACTGTTACCTTGCTGTAAGGAAAAAAAAAAAAAGAAAGAATTACACCACTTGTATTACAACCCTCACTTAATTCTCACAAATTGAGCAACAAAGGATTAAAATTTGCTTGTTCAATGCATGTAGTCAGCATTAAGCAAAGGTAAATACAGCAAACGGCCCCGTATGATTTATTAATAGGTTGTATTTTTTGAGAGAAATTAACTGAAATTTATTAGAAAAACAAAGCAACTGAAATGATACTAGTTGTTATTGGAAGAGTAAGATTCCTCATTAATAAATCTAAGTGATTTAAGATGATACCTTGATACTGGTTTAGATGATACTAACTTTGTCATTATCAAGTCATACAGAGGAATCTAGGAGTAGCTGTGGTCGCCGGTCATATTTGTTCATCCTTCAGATCGGACTTGTTCCCTGTGGTCGTCGGTCCTCCTTCTAGGTGGATGTTGTGCCCTTCTTGTCACTGTCGGAGCTCTCAAGGGAAAGAGAATAGGAAGAATGAAGAGAAGAAGAAGCAAAGAAGAACAGGGGTTCTCTTTGTTGCCGCCGATGAATCGCTGAAGGTTTCTTTATCTCACCGATCCTGGAAGGATTCAGTGTATGGGTAGGGTTCGATGGAAGGAGCTCTCCAGGGGAAATCAGGGAAGAACTTCGAACAATGAGGTTTAACACCCCACCCCTTTTGTCGAAGAAGAAGAGAAGAAGGATGCATCGCCATCGGAGCTATGTCACCGTCAATTTGTCGCCGGAGCTCTATCGCCGCCGATGGACAAGGGTTGTTGTATGGGTAGGGTTCGGTGGAAAGAAATGGAAGATGGAAAGGAAGAAGGAATTCGAAGAAAACCAATTGGGTACTCAACCGGTTCATATTCATGCAAATCGGTTCGTTTTCACGTAAATCGGACCAGACCACGTTAATGCTCAAACGCACGATAACGTTGGCCAGGTCGACGTGTCGATCAGCCATTCGCGAGTGCACTCGAACGCGACTCAGAGTACGAGTATTGCTAAATTAAAATTTACTGTTAATTAAAACTTTACTAAATGGCCAATTAATTAAATTCATGCTGACTCCAGACCCGAATCACCCGATTTGCCATCCGGTTTAATCCTCACCTTTCTCACAGGTTATCCTTGGAAACATCTTTATACTTGTATTTAATTTTTATTCATAGACATAGACAGATATTCCCAATAGACGACAACAAGTGAATTCATCCATGAATAATATATTAATATCTCATATATTTCTTTTTTTTTTACTTTCTTCTATGTGTTTACGGAAGAGCACGAGGAAGATTTGAAGGAAACCATCAGTTATACAGTTCAGGCCTGGGCCGAGCTTAGCCTTAGATCCAATTCTTAAGGTTGGATCTAAATTGAACTTAAACCCAGTGAGTTATGCATTGGAAATCTCCCTGTCATTTCATTGGAGATATTCCCAATACACGGCGGTAATATTATGCGGGCGGGGAAGTTGAAATAATTTGCGGGTAACAGATCTGAAGTGCTTGTAAACCGGCCAAACTGTTTTTTTTTTTTTCTTTTCTGTTTTTGGAATGACCAGAGAGAAGGGTTGATCTTTGATTTGTAATAGCATATAAGAGCAACTTTTGAGGTTTAATATCAATAAAAATAATATTTTTTAAAAATTTTTAAAAATAAGTTAACTTTTTAAAAATAATGTAAAGGATAAAAATACTGTTCATCATCTTCTTCTTCCCATTTGTTCATCAGCATGCTGACGGAGGTGGGTGGAGACAGAGGTGGCAGCGGCGGCGCTAGGCAGAGGAATGACCACCAGCGCCGCCGCCGCTACCACTGCCTCCGGCCACCTCCAGCAATGTTGCTGGAAGCGGAGGCGGAGATGGGCGGCAGCGGATGGCGGTGGCGCTAATGAACAAATGACAAGAAGAAGATGATGAATAGTTTATTGATATTATTTTAAAAAAGTTAAGTTATTTTTAAATTTTTTTAAAAAATATTATTTTTATTGAAGAAATTGTTTATTAAGAAACTGGATAATGGACAAAATTAGGTTTTCAAAAGCTATTGATGAAAGTGCCAACCAATGCCATGTCATTGACAAGGGAGGTATTAATTTTTTTTTTTTTTTTTTTTATGTTTTTTCTAAAGAGATGGGAGTTGGGAGGTTTTCAGTCAATTATAAATATCAGGTTTCATTTTCCTTTTCTTTATTTACTGAGTTGCATTATTGTTGGCAGTAGTTGTAAAAGTTATCTAAATACAGTGCACGAAGTGTATTTAAAAAGCCAACCCCCGAAGCGTAGAATTGCTGCTCCAGGATATGGGAACTATTCGTACCCATTACTTAATTCGTAGGGGAAGGGTACTCTCATTACTATCCCTTATTCTGGCTTGTATAGTGAGCAACTCTCATGAGGAGACCATCCGCAGAAATCAATTCCCAGTCGAGTTTCTCTTCGGAACGAGTACTTCCGCCTATCAGGTGCCTGTCATTCCTGCTCTGTTAATTTTTGTCGTCTACAGATTTTCCCAACTCAGTTTTTTATTGTTCTATTGTTTGAATTTCTTGTCAAACGTCCAAATTGCAGACTGAGGGAGCAATTCTTGAAGGTGGCAGGGGTCTCAGCAATTGGGATGTGTTTAGCCACGTTCCAGGTGAAGATAATCCCGTCCTCCTCTCTCTCTACCTCTGTCTCCGGGGATCTCTAGAATCTAGTAATGGTATGTTCTTTCTTATTAATGAAACCAAAAAACTGCAGGGAAGATCGAAACAGGGGAAAATGCAGATACGGCAGACGACCATTACCACCTCTACTTGGTAACAGAATTGACCTCAATCCTTCACTTACCTGTTAAATCTTCATCAATGGATTTACAAACAGCCTACCTACCCTTTGCTTTACTTTACTTGGTTTTGCACAGCAAGACATCGACCTGATGCACTCGTTGGGGATAAATGCTTATCGTTTTTCCATTTCTTGGGCCAGGATTTTACCACGTAAGCATTAAAAAAGAAAAAGAAAAAAAAAATCATGTGCACCTTCTTCATAAATGATAAATCCCATTTAACTAAGTTCCTTGTATGCTATGCTGTAGGAGGGAGGTTTGGAGACGTTAATCCTACGGGGATCGCGTTCTATAACAGTATCATAGACAATCTCCTACGGAGAGGTGAGCCAGAGACTTGGAATTCTAACCAAATCTGGACTGATAGACCTCAAGACTAGAATTCTAACAGTGTCATATACAATCTCCTACTAGAATTCTAACAAATTAAGGCTTGTGTCGGCAGGGATCGAACCGTTTGTGACCTTGTATCATCACGMCCTGCCACAAGAACTGGAGGACAGATATGGGGGATGGCTGAGCCCTCTAATACAGTAAGCCCGTGAACATTTGTTTCTCCTATCTGAATGTCGTTTAGATTTTATGAATTATAAAACAAAATTTCTGGGGAAGAGTATGTGTGTGTGTGTGTCAGTGTCACAAATCTTGTGATGAAGAGATAGAGTTTGAATGGGATTTTGATTTCGTTGGTGCTTATTGTTGCAGGGAAGATTTTGGATATTTTGCAGAAATCTGTTTCAGGAGGTTCGGAGATCGGGTGAAGTACTGGAGTAGTTTGAATGAGCCCAACTTGTATGCTCATTTTGCTTATCTGAGGGGAATGTACCCACCAGGTCGTCGTTCGGAGATGGAGCCTTTCACTGTGCTTCACAACATGCTGTTGTCCCACGCCAGGGCCGCTTATTTGTACCGGTCGCGTTATCAGGTATTGTACTAATTTGTAAAAGGATATCTTTTATGCAAAGCCAAACGCACCCTCATCCCCTCTCAAGAAAGCCAACTACGTCTAGGGGTGGATTCGAGCCGAACCGAGTCGAATAGTATGAGGTTCGTGCTCGGCTCGCTTAGGTACAAGGCTCGAGTTTGAGCTCAGTTTGAGCTAGAACCTTGAGCTCAAGCTTGGCTCGAGTCAAAAACTTGTAAATTTGAGTTTGGCTCGGCTCGAGTTCGATTAGAGAAAAATGTTTTATAAAAATAAAAAATTATATATAAAAAATATTTTTTATTTGATACTTAAAAAATTAAGAATTATAATATTTTTATTATATATTATTTTCTATAATTTTATGGGAGAAGTACAAATCAGCCCAACTCAAAATTTACTAGGCCCAAAGTACAGGGGGAATGCATCCTGACCGTGAATTGATGCCAAATTCACGTGCAGGATGTGGTTTATAGGGGGGACAAAGCTAATTGTAGAGGGGGGGGGCTGGAATTCAGAATTCTGCATCGTGTCTCCCTATTTTTCCCTAATTTTATTATATATATATAGAGAGAGAGAGAGAGACTCGCGAGCCTCATGAGTCAAGTTCTATTAGGCTTAATAAGCTCGACTCATTTATTAATCAAACTTATAAATTGGGATTGAATTCGGCTCAAAACTTGGTTGAAATCGAACCAAACCGAACTCGAATAACTTATAAAAAACTTGACTCGTGACCACCCCTAACTACATCTTCAGTTGAATCCCAAACCACCGTCTTTCAAATAATTAATTGAATCCAAGACACCATCCTAGCTACCCATCTAATCTAGGGATTTTTAGCCATCTAGGGTTTTTAAGAGTCACAAACAAAATATCCTAAGGGCAAATATCAAGTATACAAATGTTTTTCATCATAATGGAATCTGAAAAGACCATACACACCTACCCTGTGAATTGTCATTCTTTCCGCATAATGGCATCATCTATATGAATAATGAGTTGATAGTGATGCATATGCATACAGCAAAAACAAGGTGGCTCGATAGGAATTGTTGTGAATACAGCAATGTACGAACCCTTGAGAGACGAAGCGGTGGATCGTGAAGCTGTGAGTCGGGCTCTGGCTTTCTATGTTTCCGGGTGAGTCTCTATTTTAGTTTTCCTTTTTTTTTTTGTGTATTTGTTGCGTCCCTATCCCTCAAGGTTGTCTTTGGTTTGTTGGAAGGAAAAATAATTCCATTGCAAAAGGGAAAATAGTGGGAAAATCAACCCTAGTAACAATTATTAATCGATTAATAAATAATCTTTTTATTATTATTAATTATTAAATATTGATATTTTAATGAAATAATTTTATAATTAAATAATTTTGATAATTATCTAATTAATGATTAATTAAGAAATAAGAATTAATATTTTAATATTTATTTCATTAGTATTTACTATGAATTAATTAAGAGTTTTACTTTTATTATTAATTGTTTTTAATTATTATTTATTTATTCACTTCTTTTGTTAATTATTATTTTGTTAATAATACTTATTTATTATTTATTATTTTATTATTCATTAGATATTAATTATTTAAAATGCACAATTAGTTAATTAATTAAATATTTTACATTTTATTAGTTTATAAGTTATTATTAATATTATATTTTATTAATACACATGACTTAATTACTAATTTAAATATTAATTATTCATAAATTATTAAATTAATTTTCATTAATAAATTATTATTTTTTATTTATTTTAATTAAATTATTAATTATAAAATAATTATTTAATTATCAACTAATTAGTAAATTAATCAATTCTTAAATGTCCTTAATTAATTAATAATATTTTTTTTATTTAATATTTTATTGTTAATTATTAATTTGACTAATTATTTCATATTCTATTATTAATATTTTAGTTTTAAAAAATAATTAATTATTAAATTATCTATTAATTAATATTTTATTTTTTTTAAGTTATTTATTAATTTTTAGTTAAATTATTTTATTAATATGTTATTAAATAATAAATAATTTATTTATGGTTCATGAATCTAGTATTAAATCTTAGAAATAGTACGACAGGTGTTTTTTCTTTGTAAAACAAGTCTACCCCTATATTCCCACTTGTTTCCCACCAAAATGGTGGGATTGCACATCCCAAGAATTGGGATCTATAATCCCACTTTTCCCCATCCCATCTCTTGATATCCCCCACAAGGAAGGGAGGAATATCCCATTTTTTTTCTTCCCATCTAACAAACCAAACATAGCCCAAGAGAGTGTTCTCTTGAATACGATGAAACCGAGTTATGAACTCATGATCAACTTGATTTCAAACTAACCTAATGAGGAACTGGGTAAACACAATACCTAATACGTGTGTGTGTGCTTCTCTTTTCGGAATGTTCACATCTAGCACATGTTGGGTATACATAGGGGTGGACTCGAGCTAATACGAGTCGAATACCTAGCTATTCAAGCTTCGCTCACCAAAACAAGGTCAGGCTCAAGCTCAATTTGAAATAGAGACTTGGGCTCGAGTTCGGCTCAGCTCAAAAGCTCACAAGTTCAAGCTTGGCTTGGCTTTAGCCAAGCTTCCTATAAAAAATAAAAATATTTTTTTATATTACATACAAAAACTAAGAATTATAAAAATTATTATTGTCATACATATAAAAAATACAAATATTATATATAATATTTATTATTATACATATACAAAATAAAAATATACATATTAAAAATTGTTTTTAATTTACATACAAAAAATAAGACAAAAATTATATATAGGTCAACCCCCCCCCCGATTATGTAAATAAATTAATGTGTATGTAGAAGGTCCTTATAAACAAAAGGCTAGGGCTGTCAGTGGGTCAATTCTACTCAATAGTTCTGTTCTGAACAGACCAAACTGATTATATCAATCCTTGTTGTATGATTTTGTCCCAATTAGTAACCGGGTCCGTTTTGGTTATTGCTTGTTAAAAAACAACTTAGACTCAAACCTAATATTTTGTTAACAATATATAAAAGGTTTCCTAATTTTTTTGTAATTTTTATTATATTTTATTTTATGTATAAAAGTATAAATTTGATAAATAATATATAAGATAATTTTGATTAAAAACACTTGATTTATTAATTTATATATATAATTTTTTATTTTACTGTTATTTCTATTAGGATTATATAAAAGTAGCTTTTAAAACCACATGGTATACTTAAATAGTTTGGTCAAACAATAGAGTATATATATATTTAACTGAATCAAAGAGATACAATACAATCTTTATTGCTAATCATCATAGATTGCCTAATTACCGATCGAGCAGGGTGTTAGATCCCTTGATACATGGAGATTACCCTCCAGAGATGCGTCACCATCTTGGTGCTCGACTGCCCAAGTTCTCAGTGGAGGAGTCCAAGGCACTAAACGGCAGTATTGACTTCATCGGCATCAACCACTATTCAAGTTTATATGCCAAAGACTGCATCAACTCTCCTTGTCCTACAGGAGAAAGCCATGCATTCCTAGGTTTTGTTTACACAACCGGTTTTAGGGATGGTGTTGCAATTGGAGAGCCGGTATTAGGCATTTCCTATCCCATCACTCTCTCTCTCTCTCTCTGTAAATTAATTAATGCTCCTCTTCTTATCTTTCTTACTTATCTGGGATGTTTCCTGTTTTTTTTGGCAGACTCCGATGCCTAGATTCTTCATAGTTCCAGATGGACTGGAGAAAATGGTAGAGTACATTAAAACAAGATACAATAATAAACCCACTTTTGTCACTGAAAATGGTGAGAACTGAGAACTACACTACACACATATTAATGCATTATTAACGTTGCTATGTGTTCTATATATTCATTTCCTTTTCTCTGTAATTATTTACTGAATCGTGTTGATCGTGATTATTATTAGATACAGAGAGGGTGAATTGAAGATTGTTTTTTTTTCTTTTTTTTTTTTATTTTAGCATGCAGCTTAATTAATTAATAATCTTATTGCTGGATGGGTCGATGCGCTTGTACGAGTATTTAATTTGTTCAATATTAATTGTTCCGTGCAGGAATTGCTCAATTAGACCAACCTGGTCAGAGAGAAGTTTTACTGCATGACAACAAGCGAGTCGAGTTTTTGAAAGGTTACCTTGCTTCTCTTGCTCGAGCAATCAGGTGAGCCCACGGATTCAATTTCAACCAAAAGACTAAAACACTAGTTTTAAGATATCCAAATGTTGATGGAGATGACAATTGTAATTTTATATATTAAATTAAACTGCTCTTGATATGTTTAATTTAATTAAGATCCTGTTATCAACTAAAAATCTTTAATTACTACAACGTTCTGTGGCTTTAAATAAGCTAGTCGCTTTGAATTTGATAACAGGAATGGGGCTGATGTGCGGGGCTATTTTGTGTGGTCACTGATGGACAACTTTGAATGGACGAACGGTTTTAGAATGAGATTCGGACTCTATTACGTGGACTACCAAACGCTGGAGCGGACTCCAAAGCTATCTGCAAAATGGTACAGGGATTTCCTCACCCCCAACGCTACTGATGAATATGATGATCTACTAGTGAAGCGATCGAGGGTAGCCAATTGGAGAGGTGTTGAAGTAGATATATGATCATATCCTTCTTCCATTATCATTTTCATCATCACCCAACATGTTCTAAGCTTCCTCTGTTGCTCTCTTGCTAAATTATTCCTTTATGAACATGGAAGAGAATATGTTACTGTTTTTCCTTATGAATTCCCAGCATGATCAGATTTAGAGCATCAAATTCCACATCCAGGGTCAGGTTTATATATGCTCATCAACCGAATCATGCACTCTTGACTCTTGAAATGTTTACCTTCCACAATCTCTTATGCTTAATTTCCATTTGGCTGACTTCCATAGCATTCAATTACAATTTCATGCTTGTTTCTAATCTGCATTTTTATACATAATTTTTGGAAAATATAAGCTTCCCTTTTTCCTAGTTTATATTGGGGTAAGGACATACATCTTACAAGCATGAGGAGCAACGTCTCCTCTGATCCAAGCAAGGGGATCCTCTGGATTGGCCACCTGTTCAACCTCCAACCTAAGCAGCTCTCCACCTTACCTTGGTTGTTCAGCCTTCTTCACTAACAACCTGAGGACAAAAGGTTTAAAAGGACAAAAGCAGAGGAATGGCACTGGTTGCATCTCCTGCAACATAGTGCACCAAGGTGCACCAAGGTGTAAAGCTCAAAAGTTTTTTTTTTTTTTTCAAAAATAGTAAAATATAATAGAGCTTAGATCTAACAAATATATCTAAGAAATACTTTCATAGACATTGATAACATTAAACAAAATAGCAACTCACATTTTATATGTACAAACACTTCCATTTCAGCAAATAATTGTATGGATATGTTCGTTTTCTGAACCCATTTTCTAAACAACTATTGATATTGAATCAGAAGACCCCAAATATCCTGGACCAACATTGAGCAACGTCTCCTTTGATAATCAAACTAACTAGAAAACATTAAAGAGATTGAAACAGGGTATTTTGAACAAAATCAATTTATAGATTAATAAACATCTAGACACCTAAATTAATCAATCAGAGAAAACTTATCAGCACAAAAGAACTCACTGGTCATACGGGTTTCAAATCAACCAAGAGCAATCCATTACAAAAGAAAAATAAAATAATTCCATTGAGTAAAGAGGGAGAATAATTAAGAAATTCATTGGGGTTTTTTGTTTGGGAGAGCCTTGCATGATGAAATCTCTCACATACATTAGGGAGGAGTCGCATTTTCTTCTCAAATTAAGGCCAGATAGGGCCACTTAAAACTCAGCTTGAAGCCTAGTTTGATCCCAAGTTTATGAATCGCATATGAAAAACTTTTCTTAGCCTCCCACGAAGCTAACTATAACTTTGATCCACTTCCTAATTCATGAATTCCTGAAACCCTCTAAAAGTATTGGGTTTTGACACGTATGTTTGCCTTCACTTTATAATGGAAAATAACTTCTAAAAGCAACACTTTATCGATAAATCCAAAAAGGATAGAACTCTAATTTTATAATTAAAATACTAAGGAAATGGAGAATTCTGGCACACAGTTGGATGTTCAGAAATCAACCATAACTCACTTAATTCATGTCCGAACTGTACAATTATTATTGGTTATAGGATAGCCAATATAATAAAAAGAGAATCAAGACAAATGGAAAGACTTGACCACTCACATTTGTGTCACAGGTAGGTGACAAACCTAAAACAGTCATTCCATGCAACTTCAAGTTGGAAACAGACAATTTGCAACAACTAACCTTTACTTCTGCAAGTATTTTACCTTAGGTCATAACCTGTATATATGCATTGTTTAATAGGTAGAAAGGTTTTAAACCCATGTCCATGCTATTGTGGAATCAGGATTTACATGCATTAACAACTTAAGAAAGTTGCTATCTCATAAAGTATATATGATCTAGGGGTGTGGGTGGCAGGATTTTAATTCACGAGGTAAGAACCTATAGGGTTGCTAGACTTGCCCATTGGAAATGTCATCACCAGACAGATTGTAAGTAATTAAATTAATGAAAAGAAACAAGAATAAATTTGGATGCATACTTCTAGCCCTGATTGTGATCTTATCTTCGTCCCTTGAACTCCAAGTGGGTCCTGATTAACATCAATCACCTCCTTGTTTCCCAAGATCTGGAGAGTCTCTCTGCTAGCGGTTCTGATATTACACCCAATAAGTAAAGGAGCCTGTTACAAAAAAGTTTTCACATCTTGTAATTATGGTTGGAACTAGGGTTGTTCACGGGTTAGGTTGGGTCGATTTAATGATGTTTTTCCAATTGATTCGATTTGATCGGGTTATCTGAAATTGAAACCGAAACCGACCCTGTGTTATGCAAAACCGACCTGATCGGTTTGGGTCGGTTTCGGCTCTACTTAGTGGTGACTTAGTTGTTGTTCAAGTGTTCATTTCTAGCTCTACATTCCTAAAGGAAACCAACATTTCCTTAATGTTTTGTGGCCCATCCATGGATCCAATTGTGGAGGGAGCAAAGTTTGAGAGACAACTTAGTTAAGTAGGAACTAAGTAGGTTGTAACTACTAACTAGGAACTAGCTACTAAGTCGATTCGGTTCGAGCCGGTTTCGGTTTTCACACATGAAAATCGAAACCGAACTGAATCATCGGTTTATGATTTTTTATAACCCGAAACTGACCGGTGCTGAAGAAAACCTGACCGACTCAGATAGGGTCGGTCCGGGTTGGTCAGTTTGATCGGGTTGGGTCTTCTTATGAACAGCCCTAATTGGAACAGAACTAGAAAGTCTTATGTCTTACAAACTTACCTTCGTAAGAGCCCAAATGCTAAAGTGAGACTTGTACTCCTCTAGACTTATTCCTCCATTTCCGACTTCCAACATGTAAGGATCTATCAAAGTATTGGTAGCACCACAAATTAAGTGCTAGATATTTTTCCTTGGTGCGTAAAATTTTAAAAAAAATGTTTAATCTATAAATTCAAAGATTAAAAATTAACGAACAACAGAATTTGTGCAGTTCCAGTTTTCCAGAATTCACTAAATCCTAGTTCAACAAAACTAAATAAGCATGGAACTTTAAATCAACCCACCAATCACTACAAGAAAAATGGGTTTTAGTGACTGACGTATAGTTATGTCTGTCACTATAAATAATTCTATAGTGACGAATTTAAAGTTTCGTCACTAAAAATCCATTATTTAGTGACGAAGAAATTTTCCATCACCATAAAGAGATTATAGTAACGGACAGTTGAAGCTCCGTCACCAAATTATAATTTATAGTGAAGGAAAACTGAATATTCGTCACAAAAACAGAAAATCTTGATATATAGTGACGGATAATTGTCATCCGTCAGAACTGATAAACTTATAGTGATGAGCCACTTAATCATTGTCGCTAAATATTGAGTTATAGTGACGTACAATTAAATCATCGTCACTAAATGGTAAATTATAGTAACAAATAATTGAATGTCCGTCACAAAAGCATAAAATCTTGTTGTATAGTGACGGACAATTGTCATCCGTCACAACTGATTGATTTATAGTGATGGACGACTTAATCATCATCACTAAATATTGATTTGCAGTGACAGACAATTAAATATCCGTCACAAATCATAAAAGTTGATTTATAGTGATTAATAGTTTAATATCAATAACAAAATCTTTATTTATTGTGATGGATGTATTTGTCACAAATTTTTTTATCTTTAACAACGAATAATTAATGTTTCTTTCACAATTTAAAATCACGACATTTTCATTTTGGGATTTGTAGTGACTTTTTCTCATAATCATTGTTTAAAGGATATTTTGTTTTATATAATATAATTAACTGGACATTTGAATTGTTGAATTGATATAGTAGAAATCTGTTGAATTAAAAAATATAAGAGAAAAGATTTTGAGAAGTAGGAGAATTATATTCTGGCCGCCCCCTTCACTTGTTATTTATAATAAAAAATATAACAATATGAATAGGACTCAAAAACATAATAAGATTTGGACTGTTGTGGTTCCTACTACCTATCTAAATCCTAACATAACACAACAATCCTAAAATAATCACAAAAATCGTCCAATCTTCAACACTCCCCCTCAAGTTGGGAGTAGATGTCACACATTCCCAACTTGCGTAGATCATGTTCAAGTTTGTTTTTTGCAACTCCTTTAGTGAGAACATCAGTCAACTGTGACTCTAAAGAGACATAAGGCAAGCAAACTTCTCTGGTGGTTACCCTCTCCCTTATGAAGTGCCTATCAACTTCAATGTCTTTTGTTCTGTCATGCTGGATTGGATTATAGGCAATGTTAATTGCAACCTGATTGTCACAGTACAACATCATAGGCTCCTCTGCTTTCACCCCAATCTTGCTCAATAGACATCTAACCCAAAGTAGTTCTGAGACACCATGGGCCATGGATCTACACAGCCTCTGCACTTGACCTAGCCACAACCGATTGCTTCTTGCTATTTCAAGAGATCAAGTTTCCACCTACAAAGGTGCATACTCCTGATGTAAATCTCCCGTCATCTAAACACCCTGCCCAGTCTGCACCTGTATAGGATTCCAGTTTCAGATTTTCATAGTTTGAAAAAAGAATGCCTCTGTCTGGGTGCTTCTTTAGGTATGCAAGTATTCTCTCAATAACTTCCTAAAACTGAACCCGATGTACATGCATATACTGACTCACAAAACTGACAGCATAGGAAATATCTAGTCGTGTCATACACAAATACAGCAGTCAGCCAACCATTCTCTGATATCTCCCCACATCTTTTACCAACTCTCCATCCACAACATTAATTCAATGGTTTGGATCTACAGAGTGTTAGTTGGTTTGGTTCCTAACTTCCCAGTTTCCCATAGTAGGTCAAGAACATACTTTCTCTGAGAAATGAAAATCCCATGCTTGGATCTTGCAACCTCAATCCCCAAGAAGTATTTGAGCTCACCAAAATCTTTGATCTCAAATTCTTTTTACAATAGACTTTTGAGAGCATTAATCTCTTCCAGACCATTTCCTATAACCACTATATCATCCACATATACAATCAAAATTGACAATACAGTGTCTTTCCTCTTCACAAAGAGGGTGTGATCAGACTAGGTTTGTGTACCCAAAACGGATAAGTGCCCCTCTGAATCTGTCAAACCAAGCCCTAGGTGATTGTTTCAAGCCATACAATGATTTTCTGAGTTTGCACACCTTTCCTCTACCAATATTTTCATAAAAGACTGTTGGAATGTTCATATATACCTCCTCTTACAAATCACCATTGAGGAATGCATTTTTAACATCAAGCTGAAATAGAGGCCATGAGTCGATTGCTATTAAAGATAACAGAATACAAACTGAACTCATCTTAGCTACTGG